CTTTTGTACCTGGACAAGAGAAACTAATTGAAGAACCTATTATGAGAATGAAATCAATCAATTTTCCTGCAACTTCATACGCTCAATCTTCGATGTCGGCAGGACAAGATGTGCCAATATCAGTCGAGCCCATTGCCAAAATAGAAAATATTCGTTTACCAGCTACATCATACTCACACTCAACTTTTGTACCTGGACAAGAGAAACTAATTGAAGAACCTATTATGAGAATGAAATCAATCAATTTGCCTGCAACTTCATACGCTCAATCTTCGATGTCGACAGTACAAGATGTGCCAATGTCAGTTGAGCCCATTGCCAAAATAGAAACTGCTCGTTTACCAGCTACATCATACTCACACTCAACTTTTGTACCTGGACAAGAGAAACTAATTGAAGAACCTATTATGAGAATGAAATCTATCAATTTTCCTGCAACTTCATACGCTCAATCTTCGATGTCGGCAGGACAAGATGTGCCAATATCAGTCGAGCCCATTGCCAAAATAAAAAATATTCGTTTACCAGCTACATCATACTCACACTCAACTTTTGTACCTGGACAAGAGAAACTAATTGAAGAACCTATTATGAGAATGAAATCAATCAATTTGCCTGCAACTTCATACGCTCAATCTTCGAAGTCGACAGTACAAGATGTGCCAATGTCAGTCGAGCCCATTGCGAAAATAAAAACTGCTCGTTTACCAGCTACATCATATTCTCATTTGAGTCATATTCCTTCTTCAAATACATTTTTAGACGCACCAGTTGCTAAATTAGTGCTTCTTAATACACCAGAAATATTGAATGGTCAATCTTCCCATGTATCTTCCGAAGGTGATCTAAAGTTAACTGGTGGTAAATCAATCACAAACCAATGGGAAAGACTTTCAAATGGAGAATCATTATTTGATCCTAGGTTAGGAGTCAAATTTGAAAATGAAAAAAATGCGGCTTCTAAATGGGGGAAATTATGTGAATAAATGTTTAAAATATGAACATAAAAAAACGTAAAATATGAAAAATTTGTATTCTTCTTTAATACTTTTATATTGGTCATTAGAAATATATATATATCACGAAATAAATTGCTTATTAACTTATTTTAATTTTACTTTAGTAATTCATAATCATATCATTAATACATTATACTGTATTTTTGAAGAAATAATAATTATTATATTGCATTTTATTAAAATGTGTAATACGAGTATAACTGATAAATACCCAAACGATACCATACGTTGGTAATAATTGGTTACACATGTATAGGATTATGATAGGTATCATTAATTTAATAAAATCCTCTGGGTATTTATTTTATAAAATCAATAACTGTTATTGGATGTATAGACTATTTGCATACTTGTGTCGGTGTATTTAGCCATTAGTACAGAATACAGCAATTTTAGCGGTTGATAGTTATATTTAGGTTGTGTCGTTATAGATATAAGAAAATAGAAAATTTGAATTTTTTTCTATTATTTATACACCTTATTAGTTAAATTTGTAATTTGTGTAAAAGTACACACACCACATTTACTAATATATCTTTTTTAATTTTCTACAACTTATAAATAATATCAATATTTTTAATATTTCTGCCAAATTATAAAATTATAATTTTATTCTTAATGTAATGCTTTCTTAAATATGATTACATCTGTTAATTAAGTGACATCTTTAATAATGTGATAAATTCTTAACTTATTTTATTAATTAAATATTTTACGCATTATTTCATATTCATTTAAAAAAGACAATTGTTTTTACTAAAACATAGGGAAAATTAGGGGATATTTTCTATAGACTTTCAATAAACGTAAAATATAATTTAATCTGATGAAAAAATAGTATTTTGTCATAAACTTTTAAGTCATTATATTTTAAAACCAGTTCTATAGGAATGTGAAGCTCTTACAGCTCACATTAAGCTAATACTAAAAATAATTATTAGCCCCAGAGACCCAGGCTTTACTGACTACTTTTCAACTTTTTCGTTTAGACCTACTTATAAGAGTAGGTAGTGTATTTGACGCAGTAAATATATTATATAGAAATTATGATGTTTTTATTTAATTTTATGGAAAATTATACAATCAAATATTGATATCTATTGATGGAAGCAAACGTGTGTTGTTGTCCTTAATAAATTCATAGAAAATGTATTTTTCATAGATTTTTGAAGTCAAGCCATTTGCTAAGTACGTAGGTAGACGATATTATTAAGCCAGTATTTATCAAAAGAAATCGGCCTAATATTCAGCATGATGTATTTACTGGTATTTTATTAACCTTTGAAATTAGTTTTCGGGACATATTTTAAAACGTTTTTATTGCCTTTAGTTTCCTATTTAATATGTCCAACATACTTTCTAGCATTAAAATTACATGAAAATCACTTCTGACAATGGCAAACACGTTTTGGCCAAAATGTATACTAAACAATTTTTATTTATACAATTAAAGTATGGATTAATTTTAGATGTTAAACACATAATAATTTAGAGAAAAAAAATTAAACAACCTTTGTTTGCCTAATTTGACTGGTCGGAACTCTTGACCGGAAAGTCCTAGATAGATAACACATTAAAAATCATTATTTTTTAATAGGTCAAAATATGTCAAACTATTTCGCTTAATATTATTATTTAAATGGTAGAAATGATAATTTTGTATTAAGCAACTAATGTAAGTATTAATAAAAACGCTAAAATGTATTATTACGTACAATATTTTTTATATTTTACACACTAAATTAAAAAAGTGGTATATTAGTTTAAAACAATTCATAGATAATTTAACTTTAAATCCCATAATTTAAAGTTAACATATAATTGTTATTATTATTAATTGTTACAATCTGTACTATACATTTTTTTGTATATACATCAAACAAAAAGTATTATTATTTCATGTATCAAATATTTGCTACTAGTAGCCCAGCAAGAAAGCATTTAACTACGTTTATTAAATATAATTTGTTTAATTCAATAGAGTTTGATTAATATGAAAGTCAATCATCATTACTATTACAGTATCATAATATAATATTAAATTATATTATTCAAAAACAGGATGTTATAGCCGTTCACTCTTTAAAATAAATTTACTAAATATAGTTTCAAATATATTTTAAGAATGAATAAATTCAAAAGAATTTATAGTTTTAAGTAGGAACTAAGAGGTAACCTTTTCAAAACAACTACTATTTAGGTCATTTATACATACTGAGAAAAAAGTTTGTTTGACAGACATTATACAATGACCTGAAAAATTCCTACGCTACAATTAAAAATGCCAGTCATTGTGCAACGGCATTTCACAAATAGTTAGGAAAAAACAAATACTCCGAAACATATAAGTGTGATGAATGACTAAAATTTGTTTATTTACTACTTAATTTTAGCCTTTCGCTGCAACAGTTGTTTTAATAAAATAATTAAAATATTTTAGTTTATTCTTAAATAACATAATATAAATTTTACGGTAAATGATTTGCTAGTAAAAAATGGTGTATTCGTGTTAGGTAGGTACACAATTTAATTAAAAAATGTTTTTATTAAAATTAACTCTTAAATCCTTTTTTAATTTTAGTTTTTATTGATGTGATTCAATTATTTATACAAGGGTTAAAAAAAGTATCAGAATCTGAATAAAAAATTTAAAATAAGAGACTTGACAAAAGTGTTATAATTTGTATCGTTATTTTTTCGCCATTTTTCTCTTGCTTAATCATCGCGAAACGTAGGTACTCTAAGTAAAGTAAAATGTTAATTTTCTCAGACGTAACTTTAATTAGTACAATCTCTTTAAGTACACCACAGCATACTATGTTAAAAGAGTATATAAATAAACTAGAGTGACGTGGACTAAATGAAACTAAATGAGGCAAATATAAAATTGTTCATAAAAGTAGCCAAGTTGTTTTAAATTTTTTATTTTACTTAGCAATGCAAAAACATCACTAGATTAAAAAAATGAATTACAATTAAACGCTGTTAATTGTGTTTTAATGAAAAATTTGCAGTTCTACTTGTCTTATTTGGTTGCAGTTACCCCATTTTAAGTTCTTACTGCAAATATAAAATATGTGTCTTAATAACAGTATTTTTTTAAGCATTACTTTTTACTATAGGTATTATAGATAGTCAAATTTAAGGCATTCAGAGATTATTATGATTTGTTAGGGTTTTTCTTACTTCGCCTGAAGTTATTTTTCGATAGTAGTTATTTTTTTTATTACGATTTGTAGAAACTATAAATTACTGTATACCTTACTACTATGACTATTACAATACTTCAACTAGATTTATTTAATAATTATACATTATTTAATAATATATTATACGTTGAGCAATAGATTTCATAACTGTCAGACATTTGTCGTCAATGAATATGAGACAAATCCGTAACATAAAATATAAGCTTTTTATTATTATTAGCTCTATATTCGTTTAACAATTTTTATGATTCGTCAGCGATACATAATTTCATATGAACATGATTTAGTTTAATTAAAATTAACTTGCAATCCATTTCTAATTTAATATTTCCTAATTAAAATGTACCAGTAAAATATAGTCACGTTTGATAATAAATTTGAATTTGCTTGTACTTACTTGTTTGTCTTTGATTCGGAATCGAGAAGCTATTTGTTTTATAGTAATATGTTTGTTTTTACTGTATTATGTTTGCATTTGGTCCCACGGTCGTTCTCTGACCATTGAACCGATTTCTTCAAGTAGAAAATCAATAAATCGTACGCCAAAGGTGATATGGGTAAAATTTGAAAACGTTCATCTCTCTAAGACTATGGTACTTTTCTATTTTAAAACGGTCAATGGCTTTTCGGATTACTGACGAGTTGATATAATTTGTTAATTTCGCTTTTTACGGGTAGTTTTAGCACTTCACGGGGATAAAAACACATGAGCTAGTATTGTTTATGTATTTTTTTTGTATTATAACCTTTGACATTTGTATGTTATTTTCAGATATCTTCGGTCAGTCCTACGAATACCTCTCCAGCGATACCCGCCAGACGCATTCCTGGTCCTCCTCCGGTAGTCACGCCCCGTCCACGACCCCAGTACAAGTTGCCCCCTCCGCCGCGCGCCAGTGATCCATCCACGGACCGTCAAACGACCCGGGGGTCCGTCGAAGACCAGCAAAAGGAATCGCAGCCACCTTCTAAACAACCGCAACAGTCCACTTGTCCGCCCTTGCCGTCGGCGGTAGCACAATCTCACGCTTCGCCGTCTCAGACTCCTCAACAGCAATCACAACAGCCTCCTCAGCAACCGCACTTGCGAACCAGACGGTTCAAGGTACCGCCGCCTATAAAGTGCATCGCCGACCAGTTAGATGGCGGCAGTCGAGAAAGCTACGAGATGATGGCGCCAATGACGGCTACAATGTCGCCCAACAGACAGGTACCTATGTGGTTTATTGTGGAATTACTGGCATCTCACCAACGCTTTAGACGTAATATGATTATTAAGCGAGGAAAGTTCCCAATACATTCGAGTTGTAACAAAAATGTGTTTAAAGTAAACCTTGACTAAATTCAACATGAAATACCAATTAGTGTGAGGATTTTGTAAGAATTACCGTAGAACAATTTTTTTTTTTTTGTATCGTATACATATATTTTTTACGAGCAATAAGAAAAAACCCAAGTTTTTGAGCTAAGAAAAAAATATTTTAAAAACTGTTTATTTATTACACTCTACGCGGTTTAAAAAAACACCATACCTACCTTTACAATACATTTTCTATATGTTTTTTTTTTTTAGGAAACTTTGATTAGATAATTGTATGAAATTACAACAAATAAATAACATAAATACATTAATGTATGTGTACATACTACATATATATTTTACAATCCAATTGTGGATACCGACAAAAAGGAGAAGTTTTATTATCTTAATTGTCACGCCTAGTATCGGTTGTTCCAATTTAAATCGATGGCGCGTTCATACTTTATTTCAAGACAAAATGTGTTAAATAAAAAAAGATAGGGCATATGCGATAAAACAAATAAAGACTGTATTAATTGGTTTTGTAAATATTTGAGAGTTAAAAGCTGCAGTGAACTCAAAATATAGATTTGGAAGTCACTAATAGAACAAAGCTTGTACTGATGTTCTTGACTTCATTGTATTTGATTGTAACACATTATAATAATTACACCGATGATTGCAAAATCGACACGAATCGCTTTTTTATGAAAATTAGTTTTTAATATAAATACGTTCTAGATATGTGTTGCTGTCAGTTTTTATCAATTATCTAAAAGTTTTAAGAAATTGACTCGTGTCGTTTCTGTAGTCATCGATTAAATTATACAAATACTATGTTTTTATATTATTATAAATACTTATGTGTAAAGAACTTTGAGTTTTTGTCGTTTCTGAATAAAAATATTATTTAAGGCGATTATGTAGGCTTATTATATTTTGAAAAACAAATATATTTTCTTATAACCATTACAAAGTGTAATGATAAAAGCTTTTATTCGCCTTTCGTGAAAAAATCATCAACCGCATTAGGAATCAGAATTCAATTTAACGCTTTTCTGTGTATAACATTAATTTCCGGTATAGCCGTCGAGCTCAGATCCTTGAGGTATCAGTTTTCATTCGTATTTCCTGTAAGGAAAATTGTGTCCACCCTAACTCACACAAGCCGCATCCCTTTCAGAGTTCAAGTAAAATCAAAAACGTGAACGTGAAAACGATTTATTTATTTTTTTAAATCCGATTGCTCTAATGGCGGTCTTAGGAACCAAACGAGTTTTGTGTAGTTCACCGTGAAAATAATTCTAAAAAGAATATAATATGAAACGATGGGACAAGAATTTTATGCACAATGATACGTTGAAAAATATTATAATTTTTTTCTGTACCGTTTAGGCAAGTAAACATTATTTGTATTTTTTGTTTTTAAAAGTCATAATTTTGTGCAAATATTTTGAATTAAATTAATTCAAATTCAAGTAACAAATCATTTTATGTTATAATATTAACAGGACAGTGGCCATTGGAGTGATTCGTACAGTGTTAACTCTTCACCGGGTTATTCAACCAAAAGCATGGAGACGCCTTTGCTTCACACCAAAATGATTCCATCCCGTTCCAATAAAAAACGTTTTATACTAGACCGGTATGTAGTTTGTGACCAATGGAATGGACGAGCGCGGTTCTCTCCAGCGAACAGTGGTCCAATTAGTTCGAGCAGTACAGAGCTGACTAAGAGCCATTCAACGCCAGCCAGTTTGCAAGCCGTTGTAGAGTTTGAAGAAAATTCTCCCAACTCTTTAAGACACCGAGTAAGTAATCGGTTTTTCTTTAATTCCATAACGGATGACATTATAAATTATAAAACCGATATGGCGTATACAACATCATGTCCCAATCGAGATATAAGCATAAGCCATTCAGGTTTTTAGTAAGCTATTTGAACTTTTCTTATGCTGCCGGATTTCCCAATAAAGTGGTTTTCACTCTTATAACCAGGGTACGTGTTTTTTTGTCCTATTTATTTTCTACCCTTCCATGTATGCGCACCTTCACAAGTGCCTTTACAAAACACGCCTGTGATTTATTATAATTATTGTCACCATCAGAGGTTTACCCTCAATCTTTCACTGCCAACCAAAAGCCGTCTTAAAGTCACTGACGTTAAGTTGAAAATAAATAATGTTATTACGTTATAAAAATGTTCTACATTTTTGCATCTTCTCATATTTACCAGGAAAATATAAACTCATTTTATGTACACACTTTGCCAGCATAGTTTAAAATTGAATTTTACTATATTATTATAATTATTATACAATAACAGCAACCATAATCATATTATTGAACTCTGCCTTCAGTCTTAAATCAACAAATAGCAGATCAACTGAAAATGTTTTATTTTTTTTTCAATATAACTACATTAAATCGTTAATCTTGTTGTCCATGTCGACTTTGTTTGTTATTCATAATTCAAGTAAATTAACTCAGCTCGATCATAATTAAGGTTTCATTTTAAAATTTAAAAATTATGAATTTAGTAAACTCATTTAAAATATCAGAATAAGACGACTTTTAGGAATGTACAACGAATATACTTAAGCATATAACACGGCCGAGTTTGAAATATTAAGTAGTCACTTATTCATATATATTCGTTTCAACTATTTATTGAAACCAAAAAAATAACGATAGTCGATACTGTTAATTTGTGTATAATATTCAGCTGGTAAGAAGCTCGTCGACTGATACTCGGCTAATTTACAAAAAAAAAATAAGTAATTAAGTAAGCAATTAAAATAAATTGGAACAGACGGTAAATAGTAAAATCACAACTAACTTTCAGTTATGTTTATCCACCTCAGACACACAATGTCCTTGGGCGCTACTTATCGAAATGGAGAACGACCGTTTTACTAAATTATTATAAATATAATATAATACGATTATACTTAACAGTACTGAGTCAATAAGTTAAAATACAATTTTGTTTACAATGTCTTCATTAATTACATTTAATAATGTTGAACAATTCCAATTTCGACGCACAAAAGAAAACGAAGAACGGCCAATGTATGATGAAAGCTTTCTTAACATTATAATATTATAACTATATTATTATTGTATGTATTTGTGTAATGTATAGTATATATTATATACTTTTTAGACACTTGACAGACATTTTTTTTAAATATCTCATGACATACCCAACAATAGATTTACAACAAACATGACACATTCGATAGAACGTGGATTTCAAACGTGATTGAAAGACTTACCCGAGTATGACTGTTATAGTGATACTTTGAGCTTTTGAAATACACCTAAAATACAATAAAAATGTCTAGAAACCATCATCTCATATGATGACAGCGTTGGGCCTTAAGGGCCCGTTAAGCTTGATGACGATACTGACAATGTAAAATGATTAAATAAACAAATAGCAATACCATTTGTGTTAAGGAATGTTATTTATTAAGTAGAAATATTGTTTCAATGTAACTAGGTACTATCTCAATCAAGTAGCTATAAGAAGGACCCAAGTCGGATTGGTCGCCTTGGATTTTATTTTGGCCTCAGTCCAACCCACTCAATTTCCATCAGCTAAAGCTAACATATAATTACTTTTATTTCAATCAGTAAAAAAATAAACATATCACATAGCATGTTTGCATTATTTGCCTGGAGGTCAATTTAAAATTTGGGTAGACATTTGAAATGTAACTTAACAATCTATAAGGTATTACTCGCTTTAGTTCAGTGGTGTGTTGTGTTGAATTTTTGTTTTTCGCAATGGAAATAAACGTTTTTTTTTTTCAGAAATATTCCAATTTATTATAGTAAAAGGAGAAATTGTCTTTTTTGACATTTACCCTCTTCATATACGGCTTTAGTTACTTAAGTTTCTGATCGATAAAGATGCGAACTCGAAAAACAAAAAAAAAAGTGTTTACTAATGCAAACAAGAAAAGCGTTAAATTTTGAAACTTATATCTTTGCCGTCGTGGGTTAAAAAAAAAAATTGATGGTTGGTAATTTTTAAATAAAAATTTTATCGATCCAAGCACTTTAGTCAGTACACTAAGATTAAACGGACAACCCAAGCGGTCTGAGTTTTCGCGTTGTGAGTGTCGCCTGTTGGCCTTTGAAGCAGATATTTCTGATTGAGATTGGTTTTTTGTGAAATTCGACGATAACAATTTAACGTGTACAAATTATTTTTTTTTAATTTGGTCGTTATAAATGATTGTTTCAAAGGTGATGGGTACCGAAGCGATCGACGTGACCGAGGTGTTCATCCGTTTGCAACGCCGACAAGTGCTTTACAACGCCGCAATTTTGATATTCATCACGGCCCTGTTGATTTGTTTTGTACGGGGTAAAACGATAAATTGGAATTGACCATTTTTTTGTTTTGTTTTTCCGTTAACATTGTACAAACAAAACGTTTTGTATTGATTAGTCGGCATGCCGGACAGCGGTCTGACGGCTTGGGGTGACGGTAAAACCGCTTCGACCATAGTGAGAACCAGCGACGGCAACGGCATCGAGAAAGACGTTCAAACGCCGCCGGTCAAACAGGGCCACGACCCTTTGCGGCTGGTGCCCACGCTGGCCGACCTGCCTCCCAAGATAATGGGTAATGCTCTTTTATACATGTGAACTACTGAAAGTAGAAAATAAAAAATCCCGTCGTACAATGATAATAATATTCCGTATACGATTTATGTTGTGTGTTTTGCAGCCGTCACGACTACGCTCTACGACTTTCCAATGCCATATCCCAACATTATCGACTACCCTAAAAGTAATTTAAAAATAATACGCGGTGTATGTAAAAAAAAAATTCACGCATAAAGCTGTGTAATATATTATTATAGTATTCGCGTCACGAATGTACGCGACATAAATTATATTATTCTGTTTACACGAATGCGCATGATATTTTTTATTATTATTATTTTTTGTTTGTATAATTGAAAAACTACACAAGTTCCATTTGAATAAAATTCGATAAGCGCAAAACAATGCGAACGAATTGTCGCTTAGCTGCGTTCAATAAATTATATTACCATCGCCGTACCGCCAGTTTAGTACAGGGTATTTTTTTTTTTTTTTAATTTATTTTTTACTAACCAGCATACTAATATTTTATTCGATTATAGCGTTACGCTTAGTATAATTAGCAAATTCAGTGTAAAAAATATGCTTTCAAACGAAAACGACGATAAATTAGCGGTTTTCTTCTTTTTTTTTTTTTTAAATAAATTGCAAGGAGAGTGCGGTTTTGTCGATTTTCTAAACAGTCTTCGGGTCGGGTCGTTTCTATTATTTTACTGCACGGCGTTCGAATCCCGCTTAACGGGGCCATTCGCCTTTGGAAACCTAAACGAATATCCTATAATCCGGATTCAGACCACCATAGCAATAATAGCAATACGAATTATAGTCGTCGATCGAAAAGAGACAAAAAGTCCGACCCGCATACAACCGGAACAATAAAATCGGTTAGTTCCAAACCCATAAAGTATAATACAGTATAATAATTCTTCACCTTTGTTTTAAAAGGGCCAATCTAGCTTATCCGAAACTTCCGCGCAAATCAGATATAAATTGCTCTATAATGCTCCGCGTTATACAAAACGCTCCATATTACATTTTTTTTTTATCGTACTATAATATATATTCTTTATTTATTTTGTTCTGGGAGATTTTGTAAAGGGTGTTTTAATTTACATGTTTAGTGGTCTAACTCTTTGCCATAAATTGACATTGACCCTTTTACACCCAAGTTATAGAATTTAATTATCAGCGCGTTTGCCCTTTTTGAACCCGAGTTGGGCAACATTTTTTATTGGAAGATAATAAATAACGGATAATTTGATAAATAATAAAACATTTTTATTCGTTGATGACATTATTCTTAACTCAATAACTAATAAATTCTTGTGTAAACTTAACTTTGGGGGCGGGGGGAGGTTTTTCAAATTACATATCGTCATCAAATGATTTAGCCGGTAGGTACTAACCGGGCCCCATATTATGAACCGAGGCATATTATGATTGTACCATAAAAAAAATTTAACATTACTTGGACGATACGCTAATAAACTAAGTGGAAATACTTTATGTTACGATACGATCTAGGATTTGTCAGGAAGCAATTAGCATAATATATCGTTTTAGAGGCAATTGATTCAACTTGGAACTTTTGAATTTTATTAAACGGTTTTCAATGGTAATGTATCTTTTTTGTTTTTTGGAAATTCAAATGGAACTTATTTATTGGCCACGCATAGAGGAATATGTGCTGAATTTATTCATTCGTATAATTATTATTAGTTAGCGTTATTGTTTTTTTTTTCACATTTGTTTTATTTGTTATTATTGTCGATTATCACTAATGCACAATTTTATTGCACAGGCACTTGCCTACCGTCTTTTTGTCAAAACGTCACGTCCACTTTATCACAGTACCTGCACACTGTCCCCTACAAGAAAGAATACGTAATTATTAATTATATATATATATATTTGTTATCAACTTTAATATTGCAAATTAAAATAGACCGGCCACGTACGCTTGGTTTTTGTGATTTTTACAGTAAAACGGAACCCGTACAAAATCGGACATAATCGTTAACACGTTATTGAAACCTTACCAGTTTATCCGTAGCCTTCGTTTTATTTCGTCCGAAGCCAGCCAGAGTACACCTACTCGAAGGTTTATTATACCAAAAAAAAAAAAAAAAAAATGAAATGAAATTACCATAATAGTAACATGTTTTAAATTGTACGGTCTTAATCGATTCAGTGTAATACGACTGACTGACGTTTACGAGCGACCCTGAAATGATTGAGCTGTTACAGAAACCAAGCGAAACTCCGGTCCCTTTTAACGAGCTATTATAATAACTTCGATCGGCCAATGCATAAATACATAATAAAAACGTTATGAATACATAATTTTCCCAATGTATTAAGGACCCCAAAGCAATGATAGCCTTGGAGTCCGTAGTCAACGTCCGTTGCTACGAGCTGACGGCCCTGTACTTTTGCGCGTCGTTCGTGTCGAAGGGATGTGGCAACCGAAGAGTGAAACCTTGTCAATCGCTTTGTAAAGGTAAAAAAAAAAAAAATCTATTGGCTTCCAAATTATTAATTTGGACACATTTTTTTTTTTGTTTGTGTACACGTGTGACTCAACTCGGCTTAATTAAAATTGTTTATATTTTTTTTTTTTTATTAGAAACAATTCGTAGTTGCGGATTTTTTTTCAATATATTCGAAGCGTATTACGACCCTAAACAGTGTTTGCAGCTTCCGAATGACATAGATAATCCGAACGTCTTCTGTGTCGGCCACCGAGAAGTACAAAACGTAAAAAAAATGAAACAAAATGGACGTAAGTAAAATAATAGATTTTAATTAATGTATTTGCAATCAACGGTAAAATGCATGCATTACAAATGGTTTTGGTTTTCATTATTTATAAGTTTGTCTTACAATGATTCGCAACATATTTTTTTTTTGATCAGACACTTTTGTCGGATTGCAAGAACGTTCAGAAGACATGCCGCCTATTTATTAAGGAATATTGAGTGAACTGTAATAGAGAGATATAGCATAACCTATAGGTATACAAATAAATTAGGTCGGTAAGAAGGATTTTTTATGGGTAGTTGTTTTTATTTAGATTATCAAAGTGACTTCTAATAGATATAGTATTTTGTTTAAATCAAGATTACTGTTATGTAGAAATCCGATTATGAAAAATTGTAAAACGACTAATGGTGGTCGATTGCCAAACTTTTTTTTCGAATTCTGCTTAGAAAAAATATAGTCAAACTCGTTATCTTCCAACTGTTTTATTTTATATCTCTACGTTTATTATAGACTTCAAAAATTGTTCACTGTGGTTTTAGTTAGTGTATAGTTTCATCCTCTTAAACATTATAAAACAAATTTTTTAAGTACATTTTTTTTTTACCAGTTCATTAATATTTTTAAAACCTACGTAAACTTTTTATTAATAACTGCTTGAATAGTTATGAAATTTGTAAGAAGTTGGCAAAATTAAAAATTATCATATTAAAAAAAAAGTTACTTAAAACCTAACAGCTAAAAATATAAAAAAAACATGCTTTAGCCTACTGGCTCCTGAATAGTGATTATTTCTGATAATCTCCTTAATTATATGTTCTGGCCAAAACGTTTACATGACGACGATGGCGTTATATTAAACGTTATAAGTAGACACGCTACTTTCGTGACGCTATTGCGTGTCGCTATTTTGTGTCGTTTTCGAGCTGGGAGGCCAAGGCTAAAGCATGTTCCATGCTAAAACAGCACAATAAATTCAATTTTAACTCCACTTCTTTAGTGTACAATTTTTAATTTGTTATTTAGTGATTTATGATTTACAATTGAATATTGTAAAAGCACGAAATTTTCATATAAACCGAAAATACTACTTACAAACTACAGTAAGAATTAATAAAGACTTCGAGTCAAATGCTTTGATGCTGCTAAATATTATCGAAGCTTTTGAAGTAACTACTTTTAATTGGGCATATAATTTTGTATAAACAATTTCACTCCGATTTTAAATTTAACATTTAAAATAACAAAAAATTCCAAACTAATTACATTTTCCTTCTTATAATGGAATTTTATTATTATTTTTTTAATTGAACAAAAGCAATACAAAACATTAATGTAACAATACGTTTATCTTTAAAGAGTAAGTTTCTAAAAGGTTTAAATGTTTTATTAATTTATCGAACGAAAAAGTTATTCTGTTACTATAACTTCTATAAACTTACCAGAAATCTGTTAATCTAAAAATGATTGCAATGGAACAGGCATAAAATATTATAATATAAAATAATCATTTTAAATAAGATTTTTTTTAAGCCGGTTTAGAAGTATATAAAATAAACATTTCTATTATTTTTTAGTATTTACAATTATTTTATAATGATTTGTTTTATTTTCAAAAAAAAACACAATAGTAATATGGAAAATATTATTTTAAAAATGACTGAAAATACAACATGTCACATAATATTTTAACAATAATTTTTAATCGAGCATTTAAATTGAACTACAAAAGTAAACATTATATTTAATGTTTACTAATTACTTTAAATATATTACTGTAGGTTATCGTTGTTATTCAATCATCAGTTTATTAACATTTATTAATGTTTAAGATTCAATAAAATCACGACCATAATATTCAAAATAACATATTATCACTAATAGCTTGTTTAAGAAATTATTATTATATTTCAGTAGGTGTGAACTTGTTGTTTAATACAAATAACTGTAAACACATTAGTGTCTTTGAAGTTGTGTAAAAACACATTATAGGCTCTGATCGTTAATTAACATTTTTTTATAAATCATACTATAAATAATTATTCAGGACGTTTCTTTATTTATAGACATATTATATGTATTTGTAAATTTGGAATAAAAATTGAAATGCATTACGTGATAAATTATAATGTATAAAAACGAAATTTATACTTCATACATAAAATTATTTCTCTTTTTCAATATTATTCCGTACCACTTGCCCACTACTACTTAGACACCTCTACCACTCTATACTTATTCTTTTAATACTTTAAACTAAACAAATTTCTTAAGTCTTGTAATCTTTTTTTCTATCATCAATAAAACAGTGTCAGATAATGTTAATGTATGTATATCACGGTAGATTGGGAAATATCATAAATATTGCTTTTATTTAAAGACTGTTACTGCATTTTTGTCTCTGAAGTGATGTTTACTATGTTTTTTTTACTATAAATTTGAAAGCTAGTTTATGTATTGTATGAACTTCCCGTCTTCAATATAATATCACTTTATTACATTGCTTTTATACTCTATAATACCTTTTATCAGACTAGAATAATCAATTAATAGGTGTTGAAATTGCAAATAGGCGCCCACTTAATTTACCGTACACCCTATATCAGGAACTCCCAACTACAAAAATGTTAAAATATAATCGCAGACTCAGTATACTTACAGCGTATTTTATCACTCAACGTAGTGTAAACTGTAAAGACACATAATCCGGCTAAAACTCATACCTCATGTTTATATTTTATAGTAAAACTATAATTTAACTATTTAATGATAATAGCAAAGTACTGTTAAAACAGTTACACAGCTCTAATAAGGTATCGTTTTGTCTTATCTGAAAAAAAATGGCAGAATAAAATAATACGGTTCGTTCATGTGGCATTATGTCATGCAATACATAAAGAATTTTCTCAAATATGATTATAGAAAGGAAAATTGATTTATTATCAAGTGGTCTATCTAAAAACTGCAGTTTCAATCTTTTTATATTGTTCTTTACAGGGATAAAGTCCTAAAAGGCAATTCGATGGTATACATACCTTTTTTAACTTGTCCATTCGGGATTTTCTCATTTTCATCGAAATACATTTTATAATTTAAGTATGTTTACAGATTGTCTTGAAGGTTTCAAATGCGATAAAAGAAGATGTATTCCACTGGATTGGCGGTGTGATGGCCATTTTGATTGCGAAGACCACACCGACGAAATGAAATGTTCACAATGTCCCGGTAAGTATTTTTAATAAGTTCCGCATCTATCCAAAACCTAATCATTGAATTACCTAACTAAAAATAGGTTATCTTATGATATTTTTTAAGCCCCGTGAATGAATTATCCATTTAGATTTTGCATTTGTGTCTATTGTACTAGTTTTATAATATTATGTTATTTATTATAATAACTTGGTGGTGTATTATATTGAAAATCGATACGGTAAAAATATATTATACTAGATGCATTTGTTCGATTGTACTTCAAACGCGTTTTATGTTTAAGTGCGAAAGTCAACTTAAAGCAAACAAAAAATTCAATTTTCGTAGTACACATTGTCGTACTTAGCTACAGCGCGGGAAACTTTCAGGTAATTTTTTAATATTTCATTTCGTCGAGAGGAATATAACGTTAAATAAATGGCCTTCTTATCAAACTGGCAAAATGTTTATCGAAAACCCAAATCTCAAGAAAAGAACTTCTTTTACTGTTAGGGACAAACAATTCATAAGTGCTTTTCGTTTTCGTTGCCGGATAACTTACTTTCTCGCTTTGCGGTTTTCTTGGATAGATACCTTCACCGGTAATGCACACTGGTTTTTGACAGCTATGAAATATGTGAATAGGCTCCATTTGTCTACGTCCAACGCTAAATGGTACTGGAATGCTATATTTTATAAGAAATATTCCATTTCTCTGACGTGTGGCATTATCTTCAAACATTTTTGAGATTTTTATACTCAAAGTAAATATTATAGTCGGCTATATTAGTAATAAATATGCATCTTCGCATCGGATTCAATTTGAACCAATCTAAATGTATCTATACTATCTCTGGGAAAATGAATCGCACACCTACAACAGGACCGCCACAACCCAAAATGTATTGTTGTGAGAAAAATCTATATGAAGTTTAAAACTAAGATATTATAATATTTAAACGCATTTGAACTAAAAACTTGAATACTTTTTTAAATATTATAAAATACTCTTTAAAACCTAAAAAGTAAAAATTTAGTCTTATGGCATTTTACAATTTTTTAAGTAAATTTAAGATTGCCTTTTTAAGATGTGGCTTTACTGCATGTATAAATGAAGAGTAAATTGTCAAACGTTCTAAGTACCAAAGTATAAAAATTGAACTTTATAATTTGATTTGTATTTTATTCATTACCGGAAACAATTTTAACATATTTTTGAGTTTTAAATATGATTGTTTTTTTTTTATAAATAACTATTCTTTACTTGAAAAATTTACAAAATTGTTTCCGGTAATGAATAAAATACAAATCAAATTATAAAGTACAACTTTTATACTTTGGCACTTGGAACGTTTGACACTTTCACTCTTTAAATAGTTGTTAAGAACGCCATTAACTCAAATATGGCATTATTAAATTCAATATTGGCTGCAATGTCCACAAATTATGAAATCAAAACATTACACGAAAATTAGTTTTTATTTAACGTAAAAACGCTACAAATCGAAAGAGACAGTCTTGTATTTTGACTGCAGTGGTTTATTTAAATAAATTAAAAACGTGATACTACCATAAAGTAAATATGGCTCTGTTGCTTTAATAACTAGCTAAAAATTGAAGAAAAAAACCATACTGCCATATTATTTTTGGTGGCCAAATAAAAAATCAGATTTAACGTGGCATTCTTAATATATATAAACTATAATATAAACAAATTGGGCCTTGAAGGGTAAAGTGATTATATTGTCCTGACTTCTTTTAATCATTTGTGTTTCTTGATTAATTTGAAAACAATGTTTTTATTATATCCTTTAAATGTAGCTGTATACTTAATAATATTAGTTTTCATTTTAAAGTTTTAATCATAAAAATATGTACTAGTCGGAAAATTATACTGTTAAATGTTTCAATTTTGTACTGCCAAGTTTGGTTCGAGTTGTTTGGATTATACCTGAACGTGTGCGTTACTAATCTGTAGGTTTTTTATTGGATTTGGTTATTGAATCGTTTAAATAAGTCTAAAAAAGGTAATTTCCTTACTTTTTCTTTTCATACGTGAATTTAATTTAAGGGTATTGAAAATTGAATTTATCAATAAAGTTTGGCATGTTAAAATCTTCGGGTTGATATTACATACTACAAGAACATCATCTAAATATTTATTTTGTTGGGAATTTGGTAAACTTGTTTTTTACATACACAGGGTGACCACGAAAACACTCAACATTTTCAAAAAGGCAAAATAATATTAATTTTTCAAAAACCATTTTTTTTAACTTATGTAACATGTTTGTGTGTGTATGCCATTTATTGCCACCTCTGTACGAATTGCCGCCTTCAAATCATTCAAAGTGCAGGGTTTATGTTAAAAAACTTTCTCCTTGTGGCTTACACCCACAAACATAATATCAAATAAAATAATTTTTTTTTCTTTTCGAAAATTGCCGTAAAATAAATGGCATACACCCACAAACATGTTACATAAGTAAAAACAATTTTTTTTTGAAAAATTAATATTATTTTGCCTTTTTGAAAATGTAAAGTGTTTTCGTGGTCACCCAGTATTTCAAAATTGATCATAAATAACTCAGCTATGAAAGGCGACAAGGAATTGCCCATCTCTGTTCCTTCAGTTAGTTCAAATCACTTTTCTTGACTTTTAAAAACATTTTGTTTTTATTTTTGTGGATAGGGTCTTATTTAATAATAATGTAATCATGATTACTGATTACATTAAAAAATGAATTAATTAATCATAAAATTATCATTTCATCTTGCCATTTGTCAACGATTTATAATACTAATATATTTTAGTATGTAAGTAAGTATATTAAATATTATTCTAGTATTAAATGTCAACAACTAGACTAGCGTCTAGAGAGAAAAATGTAAGAGCGCGATATTAATTATCATTATCAAGATATATATCTTGATAATATATCATAAAACTGCGATCAACAGTGTTTTGTTAATAATGATTGAGCGGTTACAAACAGGATCGGTCAATTTAATCCTTCTACTCCAATAATAATTTATGAAGTTTACATTATTATAATCAGGTAAAGTGATTTTCGAACCAGTGGTGTCTAGAGAAGTGTTATACGTCATAGTTTAAGAAGTTTTCGTACAAAATTATAAATATTTAATAATATAGTAAATTAATAAACCTACAGTTCCAATTAATAGAGGCAACGCGTGCGGCAACGGCATCACGGCCAACCCTATTGTAGGATAAAGACAACAGATGTTGTTTTCTTCCCACGGTATAGCCGGTGGGATTTTTGGTTAGTGGCAGGTTCTTTTTTCGGACATGTCTAGAGAGACTATCCACTATTGGGTTTACTTTGCTTAGCTTAGGTTAACTGTCGACAGGAGCAATGCGAAAGCTGTCCTTCCCCGGAGTTATCCAAAGTAAAAAAAAAAGGTTATCTGTCAGATGCAACAACACTATTAACTAATTTATTTATTTTTATTTATTTATTTATTTATTGAGTTTACGCCAAAGGCTCAAGTACAGTAATTAAATTAATTATAGTGATAAATTAAATTACAAGATAGAAAAGAGAACATACATTATTACAGCATAAAAATAAACAATCAAACTTATACAAACAAGAAAAAATTAGAATATAAAGTGTTTTATAACAAAATTAATAATTTTTAAATAACAGTTATTATTTTAAGAAGCTTTTCAGTAATGCCGGACTATCGGGTTTAAAAAAATCAAAAGAAGTTAACTTATTACTCTCAATAGACATTCTATTTAGAGGAGTATTAAAGCCGAAAGTAGTTCTATGAGACGATATTGAAAAAGTTGGACATGAACGGGAGAAATATTGGGGAACATGAATTGAGACGAGACTTAAAAGTTCTGGACAAGAGATGAGACCATTTAATAGCTTGTACATAAAGTATACATCAATATTACTATTATTATTTATAATAATACTATTTATGATCATGATAAGATTCAAATAATACAAAATTAAATTATTTATAATTGAAATTAATTTTTCCATAATATGTTCAGGTGGTAAGCAATCCTACATTTAGCACTCTTTATAAAATAGAATTATAATTTTATTACGTTAAACATATGCTCAAGTAATGCTATTCAATATCAAGTTTAAGTTTTAAAATATTTCTTTTGTTATAAGTAGGTAATATTAATTACGTTTTTAAAGATGGTGTATTTATTTCTCAATATTTTCTTAATATCCATTTAACTATACGGTAAATAACCAATTAACATAACTTTATATACAAGCGGAGAACGCACAAAATGAATCGGAACCGAAAGTACAGTAATGTTAGATTTACAAAAAATTTAATTTAAAATATGAAAAAGTTATTTTAAAACTAGGGTTTGTTGAAAACGTTGACGGGTTGTTCACAAGTTTTGGAGTTTTTAACGTTCTTAATTGTAGATGAGTTAGGCCGGGAATAATTATAGTGGTGCAATGAAATATATATATTTTACATTTTTGCGCAACACTCCACCGCATTTATTTACTCCGTCATAATATTATCTCAAGTACAGTTTATAACTTTTTAACGATCAGTCAAAATTATCAAAAAAATGCTACTCTTTAAAATGGTAATTTTGTTGTTTTTTTTCAATTGTTTAACTAATTATTTTGATTAAACAAAGATCACAAAAAGTAAATATTTTTAGCCAATTGTTAAGGTAATGACATAGCATAATGAAAACTAATATATTATAATTTTTTTAAATATCGTAACGGAAATATTTAATCCAAATATAAATAAATTGTAAAAATGCAAAAAAGTTATGTGCCGTGACCAGGATTCGAACCTGGGTTATTGCGGCCACAACGCAATGTCCTAACCACTAGACGATCACGGCCTGCGGCGAAAGATCTAGAAAACGATCTCTTTATACGGTCAAAAAGTACATACATCATACATCGCATACCTAACCTGGGACATGCTGCATGCATATTTTGGCGTATAATCAAAATGAGCAATAAAGATGTGGTACTTACATACCTACATATTAATAATATGATTTATGAACGACTTAAACTCTGCGCGCGAAATCAAAATGGGATACATAATGATTTATGTCACCATCGTAAAATATTCTTGTAGATTTTTTTTACTAAACTACTTTTTACTAAGCCAATATATTTTTTATAGAATTCAAGTGATTATTAGTATCTAGGTATTTCAAAACAATCCGGTAGCTTATTACAAACTCGGTAGTTAATAATGAGTGTTAATTTTTTATGGCTGTTGTACATTAAGATATTTTGAAGCCAGAGTTCCCGTAGACATTATTGTTTTAAACCTAATTGATGCGAAAAAAAATAAAAAAAATAAATGGAAATTACCTAAAATTGACTGGAGAGCTGATAAGACTGATAACATTTTAATCGTCTAATAAGGCATAAAAAGTAACAAAGAAATGAGATAATGTGGAAATTATTGTATTCATTCAATAGAAAGAAAAGACGACATTATACATTAACTTTTTATATTTTCTGAAATAATCTGTATTAACTATTGAGACATTAAGTAGATCACTACAAAATTGAATTATTATGATACCAAAACGTGGATAGCTACGACGTATTAAGACAGATTTAAAGCTAAGAACGAAGACTTACAAAAAAATTAATTAAATATAAAAATCACTTAGAGAACTCTATTAGCAATAACATTTTAGAGTTTCAAATGTAATCAAATGTTAAGTAATGTGTTATTTTTTAAGAAATCAAGAATGAAGGCAATGTTTAACTATAAAAAATGTATACCTAACGTATCGTACTTAAAGGTTTAAAAGGGTGTTTAGTGTTTTGCTAGATTTTGAAAGGAAAGGTTGAATATTATGTGTAATTTAATATTATACTATACTCATGTTTTATAGGCGATAACATTTTCGCATTGTGCAATGATTATCTACCAGAGTAGACAGTTGGTACTTGAAGTAAATACACTTCATAAAATAATTTACAACAACGTCAGATTTAAAACTGGACGATTTAAAATCGTGCTATCCTTGTTAGGAATAAAAAAAAACATTTATTTTTATCAATTTATCGACTACATTAAACAATTGATGTTATGAAATAAAAACATTTAATTGATATTATCTGACAACTTAAAATTAATTTACATCTATCACGTTACGTGGACACAACCTCATCAATACTTATTATCTGTGTTTTGTTGATTATAGATCAGTTGTTTTGCGGTGCCGGTAAGTGCATTGCAACCGAACATATCTGCAACGGTGTGTCAGATTGCGAGTGGGGTCAAGACGAACGGAATTGTGGTAAAATTATAACTTATTTTAAATACTGATTTTATGGTCAGTTGGGCGTTATTGGTTTGAAAAAAATAATGTATTTTTCGAATATTTTTTTCGGTTATTTGTTCGAATAAACTACTGCTAATATATTATTCTAATAAATAGGTTATCTGTTTTTTATTTCAATTAATAAGTTACTCGATGTTTTGTTTAATTTTCGTTTTGGTTTTTTAATTAAATTTGGCCCAAATCTGTCTGTGGCTCGACATGACATACAATGTGTTTTGATTGCAGTGAGACTAAATGGCCAAATGGGAGAGAAAGGTGAAGGAGTATTGGAACTTTACACGCCAAACATAACTTCATGGCGACCCGCGTGCATTCAGAGTTGGGATTCAACGTTGTCGGCTACCATAATCTGCAACATTCTCGGATACAAGTGAGAATAACATAATCCAGTTTATTTATTTCAAGGGAAGTCATGTGGCCAACAGTTTCCTCTCACTGATTCTCTCTCTATATATATAAAAAAGTATTTATGGTGTCATAGGTCAATTATTAACAAATAATATGTTAACTTTATTGAATTTACTACTTATCACGTCAAATAGCCTTCCCGATTTCTGCTAATAGCGACTTTATTGGCTTGAACCTAACAAACTATAGTACTAGTAGTTCTACTCCTAATTTTTCTCATATATCAACAACTAATTATTAAAGAAATTAGCTTTTGGGAATTCCGAAAAATGTAGTGTATGGGCCGTAATTACAAATATTCCAAATGACAAATTAATTGCATATTTCCATTACAATGTAGACAACGAGCACGGTAAATGTTTTATCATTTTTTAACTTAAAATTTTTCCTGTTCGGTCATCGTATTCAAATAATTTAAATACAATTTAACCGGTAAAAACCGTAAAATATAAAACGTATAGTCTATTATAACACTGTCGTGGTATTAGTTGAAAAATGTAAGACATATTTAAAAAATCACTTTAAACATCAATTAATTCACACAGTTGGTCTAAATATATATTTATTATTGCACAGGGTATCGACTAGAAGCAATCTGGGATCAAACAACAAGCTTTTGGCTTCTGTCACATACAACCAATCTGCTGAGTATTACGACGAAAACAAGATGACCGTGTACAGGGAAGTAAGGGACTGTCCCGATTCGTTTTTGTATCCGTCGATAACGTTGACTTGTTCAAACTTTGGTAAGTTTTTACCGACCATACATAGTGATACAATATTTACACCACACTGTTGACTGTTTAGAGTGCGGAGTCAGGAGACGACCACAGACCATGTTTCGACAGAAAAGAATAGTGGGGGGGAAACCATCACTTCCCGGCGACTGGCCGTTCCTTGCAGCCATTCTCGGTGGACCTGATGAGATATTCTACTGTGCGGGTGTGTTGATATCAGAACAATGGGTTTTAACTGCGGCTCATTGTACCGGAAGGTAAGGGTTTTTTTTTTTAAACAAAAAATTAAAATGTAACAAAAGTGTAATTTAAAAAAAAGTACCCTTTATTTGGTTTTATTTAAAAGGCTTGTCCGGTAATTCGTGTTCGCTTTATCATTTTTTTTTTTTCAGTCGAAATACTTTGGACGACTTCTCCGAGTGGACTATCCAATTGGGCATGACTAGGAGACACTCGCACTCGTTTTTCGGGCGCAAGGTAAAAGTGGAAAAAATAATCAGGCATGAAAAATACAACAATGGACCCGTTCAACACGATCATGATATTGCAATTTTTAAGGTATATAGATACAACGTTTTTTTTTGTAACTGCTACTTGTGTAAAACTATGTTGTTCCAATTCAGCTATATTATCTACATTTAAAATTAAAATCTTCTATTGCATCAATAAACGATCGATCAAGATTCAAACTTCAAAATAAAACAATAATAATGTATAATTAAAGATGTTGTTAAACTTGTTGCACGATGGTAAAAATAATGGGATATTAAATTTTTATTTTGTTGCTTTTTATAATTTTCATAATGCTTTTGAATTAGTTTTCCTTAAATATCATTTTTACATAACGATATATTGTATTGTTTTTTAAAGCTAAAACCGTAAAGTTGAAATTTAGCTAATTAATAATTTGTTGTTTGCCGGTGAAAAATATAAAAATAAAAGATAATTTACTAATTTTTAGGTGGTTTATCTTTTATGTTTATTTTATATGTTATCTCTTGTTCTTACGGAGGACTCATTTTTTTTAAATTACCAAAAATAATAATAATGTAATGTAAAAAAACTGAAAAAAATGTTACTCAAACTGTGATTCAAATGCATACAAACAGAAGTTTTGAAACCCATGAAGGTCCGTGTAGGCTGTATAAAAATCTATATTAAAAACAAAGTTTTTAAAACCGTATTACTCATTCGTGTTAAGTCATGTTTTTAACACGCTTATTATTAGCTTCACTTGTATGTATGTATGTTTGTTGTTTGTATGTTTGTATGTAACTATGTAATTTGTTTGTATGTTTGTATGTAACTATGTAACTAAAAGAGATAGGCAACCGAACGTACATGCGTGTATTCATTGTTGTTTACCTGAAGTTTTCAAGTAATAGAGACACGTATGTACTAGAATTAAAAAAACACGATTTTAAAGCACATCGAACTAAAAAGTGTAAAATAAAAAAAATATAGTTAAAAAACACGCTTAAATAGTAAAGTAAACTAAAAAGTAGAAAATAATTTTCAATATAGAAATCAATCAATAAAAAATAAATAGTATTATTGTGAAAAAAGCGTGGGGTGCTACATATATCAGTTCTTGAAAAGCGCCCCACACTTTTTTCACAATAATACTATTTATTTTTTTTAATTGATTTCTATATTGAAAATTATTTTCTACTTTTTAGTTTATTTTACTATTTAAGCGTGTTTTTTAGTTTTTTAAACTATATTTTTTTTTAGCGGGCCTCTTAATGTTTCAACTTTTAAAATCATAAGTTATTATTTTTCAGAAATATTAGTTAAAGAATTTGCTTGTCTCAGTTATGTATACATGTGTAATATTTGCGTAACATATGAATTTATTTAAAATAAAATGTTTTATTAATTTTATCTTATTGTAGCTCAGCGAAAGATTAACATTTCACGAATTTTTGCTTCCCGTGTGCTTGCCTAAGCCGAATATGGTCTTGAAACCCAATATCAGCTGTACAGTTATTGGTTGGGGAAGAAGAAATGGTCTAGAAGGTATGATAAACTATTATGGTTAATGCAAATTATGTTAATATATATGTGTAGTAATTCAATGTACTAGCCTTTAATGTGGAAACTCTATTACTTGATAAATAAATATGACTAATAGATACCGAATAGATTAGATAAAATTAATTTTTACTATCCATTATACAATAAAACTAGATACAAACCACCCACATATTAAATCAAATATTCCAAATTGTGGTCAATGCTTAAAAAAAAATTGTTTTGTTATCTAATTTTGTTTTATTTACCCTAACCTCTAACCTAACGGGTAATTACATAAACGTTGATAAACACCAAAGACACTTGATATTTGCCAATAGTTACTTGAAATGTAATTTCAACGGGTAGAACAAATATTACGTACCTATTTTAATTATGTCCGTAGCACTCGTTCGCAACCACCTGCTGTTTACGGGTCCCTGATTCTATTTAAAAACTTACAAACTATACCCAAAGGGCCTAAAAAAAAAAAAGACAACTTCGACTCAATATAAACTTTGGACAGTTTAAACTTTCAAGTCTTGACGATTTAATACAATACAATATGGGTAGCAAAATTTCCAGAACGCTTGGATGATATCAAATTACACTTTTATAAAACAATTCAATACAGCTGTAGTTGGATTTTATTCAGACTTTAAAAAATCCTTAACCCAACTGCTTTAAAATAGTACGTTTAAATTGAAAAACTACACATATAGTTTCAACTTTCAACGTACAATTTTAATAAAATTCTATTTTTCCCAACTTTGTGTAGGACATTCTAGTTCCATAGTAGTTATTATAAATATATATGCGTTTTCATGAAAAATAATTGTTCATTTATAAATTATAAAATAGAACACTGAAGCTATTTTCGACGATATAATAAAAATAAATATTATTAATGTTATTCGTAGTTTATTGTTAATATATTTTTTATTCGTATTGATTGTTATGCTAGCTTAATATATTTTTAACATGTAGTGATACATTTTAAAGTAAAAAATCTGTTTTAAATTTCAAGAAAATGCTCTATGCAAATTAAAAAAAAGGGTTATTTTTATACTGGGTTTATTAGTGTAACCTACCTATTATATTATGAATTATATATATTACACTTTGACACAAACAAAAAATCAAAACATTTTCCACTCTGAATCGGGGTTAACTATTATTTTGCTCACATTTTTTTTTTTTATAACCCGAAATTAGTAACGTTCTAATTAAGTTAATGATGTTGGACGCTGAAAACAATAAAATACTAGAGTAAGCCTACGATTTACCGGGTTTTTTTGTCGATGTATATAATAAATCAATTTGGTAATTAAAAACAAAAAACAATTTATAAAAGGTTGACTGGCCAGTTGTTTTTTTTTCATCAATAATAAAGGATCTACATTCAAACGTCATTGTATTTAGTATGCCTTTGTAGTAAATAGATTTATATTGATTGTTAAAAAGTATTTGAGTTACAACAGCTGCTCTAAAACTCCTATTCAAATCCGGATTAATGTATTGAAATGTTTTTTCGAGCAATAATTTTTACTTGAGAAGAATTAATATAAAATGAATGATCACATGTTAGTCGAATTTGCATTTAATTTCCATTGTCTTCAAAATCTGAGTTTTTTTTAATTTTGATTATTCGCTTTGATTGGTTGTATATGGAGTACATTATGTACTCAATAAAAATGGACTGGTAACTATTATCATTTTAGTATTTAATCCAAGAGCTTAAGCTTAATTCTTATCTATTTACAGTTGAAGTGATGTCAGAGGTGGGCATTAATCAAATAAACAATTTATGAAATTATTTGAATAACTGTATGTGGTGTTATTTCAATTAAAACGTTATTCGATTTGTTTTATTTTCATTTCGTTACGAAACTACATTTGTGCAACTCCGGTCCACGTGAAATTAAAAACGAATATTATTTATTAGAAGAGTATATGTTTAGTAATTTTAGTCTATTTTATAGCGAAAATAATAACAAACGGTGCAATTAAAACAACGAAATCGTTTTCTAATACTTTGAATCGAACGTATCGAGTACGTTAACGGGACTTTGATGGTTTTTTTATTTTTATTTAGGCGCCGATTACGAACCAACGGTAAACGAAGTTCAAGTACCCGTTTTAGACAGAGATTTGTGCAACACTTGGCTAAAGCAAAAGGACGTGAACATAACCGAGGGAATGATATGCGCCGGTTACGAGCAAGGCGGAAAAGACGCTTGTCAGGTAACCATTTTCGTTTTAATATACAGTTTTAACTGAATAGTGTACGTTATCTGTATTTGGACTTGCAGGGCGACTCGGGAGGTCCTTTGCTTTGCCCGATGGACGGACACAAAGACCGGTGGTTCGTAGGCGGCATCGTCAGCTGGGGCGTAGAGTGTGCGACTCCAAGTCTTCCCGGGGTCTACGTCAACGTGCCCATGTACACACAATGGATTACCGACCACATTCAAGAAGATGTCACTATCAACGGTGCAGATATTGAACACAATCGAAGCACAGAATATTGAGTACCTCTACCTAATGCCGGTGGAACCGTAGATAAAAATCTCCATCAACCCCGTTAATTTCCAAACATATATCCATCGAGATACCCGGGCGCATATCATTGTTTAGCAATTGTGATATTCCGAAAACGACTCCTGAATTGCTTTGGCCTTTCATTAATTTTAACCTTTGCAACGAACGAACACGTGTTGATCGTTCTAGTCACAAAAACCCTGTTTCGGCTTACAAATTGGATGCTGTTTGATGAGTTCTATAGTGTCACCACGAGTGGTAGCTTTTTCTTTTATGTTCAATAACCGGAGGTGTTGTTTTTTTATTCGGTTAAAATATCAAAAGGTATAAAATATAAAAATCGTACAAAACACAAGCAAATGCGTTGCGCTTGAATGTTAGTTGTATGAAACAATAATAATATTTAAGTAACGATATTTTAAAATGACGCAGTTGCGCCAAAAGAGATGTACAATCATATAGTCCATCCGTCCATTTATATATATATATATATATATATATATACATATACATTTAAACTGATTACCCAATAGGTACTATTTGTTTAACAAAGTATAAAAAAAAATTAAAAACACCGACACATCAATAATTTATTCATAAATTCAGGTAATACAAGTTTTTAATGTGAATTATTAAAATTAAAGAAACACTTTATAAAAATACATTTATTTTTGAGAAAATAACATTATTTTCTAATAATTTTCGAATAAAACACTAGTTAAAAAGTTTACTTTTAAGTGGAAACTTTAAAAAAAAGTTATACGCCAATATTTCATATTTACTAATTGAAAAGCTTCAATTTTACCAGTACACAAGCCTAAACTTGTATTATTGAACGAAAAATGTCATTTTTTGTTTAACACCTATAAGATAATTAATTTATCTTTTGTACCGTACAAGTTGTACGTTAGTTGAAAATATTGCTTCCATATAGTTTGATCATTTTTGCTCATTAGTAGTAATATTTTAGGATCTTAATGATGGATCAGCACTACTAATGAAAGGCAACAGAGTGTAATATACAAGCGATATACAATCTAATTGTAAGCAGTCAGATTTATTGAAAACGTTTTTTGATCAGCGATCGGATCGCGACACTCCCAATAACGCCATGTTGGTATTTTATAGACAATAAATCAAATGCTTATAAGACAATAAAGTGAGATTTTTTACAAAGATTTTTAATGAAATAAAACAAATATATAAAACGTAGCGACTTCTGTTAACAAATAAAGTTAACAAAATTAAAATATGCTTAGGTTATTTTTGTAAAATACACCTTACGTGTTTAAAATTTTAAATATTCTATGCCAAGTGTACTTTATAGTTAAACAAAAATATAAGTTTTGTTTGGTGAGATACTTTTGCGAGGTGAAAGTATATAATATTTTTTAAGTTCGGCTTTATAGTTTTGTTGATTTCATAATATTTGACAGATATGTGGTTCAATGTGGTCAATTAGCCCATAAACCTCATTTCTTTCCCTCTTGCCAAATTTCTATCCGTCACTATTTTATTTATTTACTTCATACATTTCTAAGTCTCAATTTATAACGTCCCGCCATTATTTTTTGGTGACCACAATTTTGAAAACTCCCAAATCATCCTAATTCCTCTTATTTTTTATATTTCTGGGAGCAACTCTTAAACTTCTTATATTCATTTCTAATTCTTACTAACCTAGTTAGATACTCTCGCACTTCATCATAAGTTTTATCTACAGTAAACAAGTCTAATGAACCACAATCTAAATGTTGTATAACATCCTAATGTACGTTCGATCAAATATATATTATATAGACTCAGTTAATAGGTACATGTAATTTGAGTAAAATAAATTAGATTAGTGCCGTTACATGATGTAAATATTCTCCAAAAATATATTATATTATTGTTTAGCTCAAGCTTTTTACGTGATTAGCTTTAAAAATAATAAGTAATATGTGTTATTACAATATACTAGCTAATTGATTGTGTTTCGTATAGTCAATGTTGTGTATACAATTGTAGCGTTGACATTATGTTTGTAAAAAATATAAAACTAGAATATAGTTCTCAGTGTGATCAGGTATGAAACTATAAGTATTGTTTAAAAGATCATAGTTGTAAAAAATATATATAATGGAGATATGATTCTCGCGCGTTACCTATAAGAATATTGGATTAATATCTATTTTTCTAAAAGATTATACATAGTACCATATAGTGACTAAAAACTTACCAGTCACTATAAACACTATATCGTATGACAATGTTTGGAACAATGTGATATGAACTTATGATATGAAAATAGTAAAATAGGCTAGTGTTATAAAAGTAAACGTATAATGTTTATAAATAGGTAATCTCAAATTTTTTGACTTGTTGCAAATAAGGTCCTTTTTTCGAAAGAAAGTATCTGTACCGATAAAAATTTTAAGTATTGTCAAAGCTTTTTAAAATTGTTCGGTAATATATTGGATAATATACATTATAATATATAACTACCAAAAAGTAGAAAGCACTTGTATATTTAATGAAAATGTTGTAAAACTAGAAATAGAATAACAAATAAAATTGTCTTTTTTTTTTAAATACATTGGACATATAACTACAATGTACCTTACATGAAATTATACAAATAAATCTAATTGCAGAAAATGTCATAGTTACCATAAACAATAGTGTTCGCCAAATATGTAAATGTTTGTATACATACATTATTGTCAGCTATGCGATTAAGTTAAGTTATATTTTCTATATAAAATGAAAACTATGTTACCAAAATCATAGCGCTTAGCCAGTATATTTTTATTTTGAATATTCTGAATTGTCTGTATTGTATAAAGTGTTTTATATATACCGTTTATGTATCGACGGCTAGTATATAAGTAGAAGAAAACCAATATAAATAGGTACAAGTTATATTTATTTTAGCTATAGTTAACGAAAACATAGTATATTTTCGTCTTCCTTGAAACTATGCAAAGAGTGACAAAGAAAATAGTTTTTTAAACATATTTTAATCCTTGTTGATTTTGAAAAAACAAATTTTATGTTCCACAATTAAACACTAATAATATTTTCCACAATGTATACTATTGGCGGCTTGCTCACTCTACGTTGTCTTCTGCTACTAAAAATTGTCAAAATACATAAATAAACATTAGTATTTTAACCATGGCCATTTGTAAAAGGCCAACGATGTATAACATGTATGTATATGAGTATATATATTTATTTACGTTAGAATGTGCTATACAATATATTATTATAGAAAACAAGAAATACATACATATATATATAATTTGCTTACTGTTGTTCAATGTCCAGTGATGTATTGTGCCTCCTTTAAATGTTATAGATCATACTTTTAATAATTCAATAAGTGATAAAAAAAGTATCAAGATTTTGAGTTTTTTTCTTTCTCAATGTTTGACAAACTAATTTGCTCTATCGCAATACCTACTTAAATTGTTTTTAATTACTTTGTGCTTCGAAAACGAGGGTTAACGGTTCAACTAATGCAACAGTAACATATTAATAGTAGAAGCATATTATAGTAAGTAATACAATCACTTAATACTTCACTGTATGGGGTAAAAAAATAATTTTTATAATAAATGTGGCTAGTTGTTTAATATTTGTAGTTTTTTACAAATGTACTAAATCTTTTGTAGAAAAATTTGCCTGGTAATTCTAAGTCATTATCAATGCTGTAATATTGGACAGTCATATGAAGCTTTCAAAAATAATTAACGCCCTTTATTAAACCTCAAAATCTACCGTCGCGACGAAAACCATTTGTATTAATGACTAATAGCACGTTGTTTAGATCTATGAATCATGGATAAAACCATTGAGTATATATTCTCATTACATTATGTACTCAATGATAATACCCCCGGAGTATAAAGTGTAAACTAGAGGGCGATCGTCTTCTAACCTCCGAGTCTCCAAGAATTTGGGTCTCTTGAGTTCGTAAGATCTATTATTCTGCATAATTTAACCAATGACGATTGCTTTCATGTAAATGGTGAGCTTATTTATATAATAGCCCAGGCGGATATTTTATCCCAGTCCACCTCGACCATTCCTATTTTAAAATACCTGATGACATGTAATTTATTCACACACAGTAACCTAAAAATTTTAAATATACATAATGTGGAACGCCATCCACATTTTACTATATAAACAAATTAAAAAATATTACTTATTATGTTCAGATATTTTGCCAGTACAGTCCAAACCAAGCACAAGTAAACCAGCAAAGTTAGAAAGTATTAAATTGAGGTGCTGTATTTACAAATAAGCATCAAAGCTTTAATTTGAAAGTGATTTTATCCGAGAGGACTAGTACAGTAGAGTATAGGCATAATGGAATCAAAGCAACAAGGGGACAATGAAGTCACAGGTCTACAGGAATTATTATACATAAAAATGAATAAAATCACTTTCAAATTTATATTATAAATATATTATGTAATATATTTGTTTAGTCCAAACAAAATGTGTTTTCTGCAAATTAATTTTTAACAAAATTGTGACATACCTATCACGTTACATAAATAATAAACGATTCAGATATGGAGTATGTTTGTTTGAATCTTCAAACTACTCGACGACTGAAAAGGGTAAAAATAATATCTTTTTCTTTTATCTAACATTTTTTTTATTATAACTGAATTACAAGAGCAACCATAATATTGATTAAGTGATATATTTTACTGTATTGCCGGTTATTGTATTGGTTAACAGTTGTACACTCATAACGATTTGAATAATATAATCAATTTTAACAATTAGTTTTAATACATTGCAGTAGACAATACTGCTCACGTTCTAAATTGCCAAGATTACACAGTTCACTTACTCATTAGGTTCTTAAATACATATACATATCTGCTCGGTTGTATGAAAATTGGTAAAACTAAACAAAACGATGGATAAAATAAAATCAATAAAACATACTTAGTTATCATTTGATGATATTGACTGACACCAATATCTGAATTTATTCAATTATTAATAGGCTACATTACGGTTAGACGTTGCACTTGTATGATTGGTGTGTTTGTGTGCAATAATAATATTATACTCTTTTCCAAACCACCTTTGAGGTAGAGTATCAGGCTCGTTTTTTTTTTGCGTGGCTTCCCCTCTTAGAACAGTTTTGCCGACAAACCAAACGTTTCACTTCCACGTCCGGTGTGTCGTTCAAAACGTCTAAGAAGGCCTAGTCCACGACTGAAACTAAATATTTAAATTAAATGTTAACGTTTATGATTTATGTTAATATTTGAATTCAATTAATAATGTTTACCTACCTATTTTTGGTAGTGTCGACCGTGATCGGTCCGAAGCAGAAATAAAATTATGGCATATGAAAAATTGCAAAGCGGTTGTATGGCGACAAAAAAAATTTCGCAAAAAAAATTAACAGCCGATTGAACTTGATAAGTACAGCTATTACTACACCATGTCTATGTTCTGTTCGCTCGTCCCTACCCGTTTTCGTTGCTTGCCTTAGCTGTTATTTCTCTTATGGTAAGGTTTTACATTTTTTTATTTTATTTGCACTCTATTCTAATTCTACCACTATGTCTAATTGATAGACAGCTAGCTTTTCCTTATCTTCCTGACCAGTTGTAGGCCACATTTCACATTATCACTGGTCTTGCTACCAGTCTGTATAACCGTTTTTTCGGTTACTTCCATAACAATTTGGATCCCATTAATCTCGAGAGTGATATATGTTGCTTATGTTGGCACCTAGATATATACTTAAAATCGTTTACTTCTGCTGTTTAATTTGTTCGACATTTATAAGAATAAAATTGACTTACCGTATTCAACAGAAACAATTACATTTCTCAACTCCAGATATATTGTCATGACATCAAATTGTTTCATTGTTTTCGAATGTTGACCATTTAATTTAATTTTCTTCAACCGAAAAACTTTGCTCGCCAAGCTAATTTCAAGTTACTTAAAAAAGTGTTATTCGTAATGTATAAATTATATATATATATTTTTAAATTACATATATTTCCCTAACCTTATAATATATATTTCAATTTTTTACCATCACACACTTTAGAAGTCTTTAGTAAAGGTAAGTTGTCCAAACGTTTAACACTAAATTGCCTTTTATTAGATGTAGAAGAATCCTGAAGTCTTGGTTATCTCTGTTGCTACTATAACATTTTCTTTATTGAGATTGCAAATCGGTTGCTTCATCGGTTGCTACCTCTGAAAACTAACAATTTATATATTAGTCAATACGCTTTTTGCTTAAACAACAACAAAAATTTAATTTTGTCAAATCTGTTATCTGTCGCTAAACCACTTCTTTTATTTTTCCCCAATCCAGCTAAAATATTTTTAAGAGTTATATTTGGTTAATATCATTTGATTTAGTGGTAGACACACTATATCTACTTACTACTCAAATACTTAATACATTTAGGCCGCTGTTGTATTTTACCGACTAATTAAATTGTTTTAAAAAGTATCTAGGTATACTTACATAATTAGAATTTTTACAACACGATGCCACAAATGGGTTCAACCGTGCTGTTACATTTGACTTTTATTACGCCTTGCTTGTAACGTTTGTTTGTAGTCTGTAGTCGTTATTGAAAACGTTACCACATTCCAATTTTGCATTTGAATTAATGCCAAAATATTTGGTTTATAATACACTTACCGGCGCATGGAGTCCGGTGGTTGCTCAAATGTATACTTACCATACTTGAATATTATTGCAATCGGCGAACAAGTTGAACTTTATAGGTACAGTTTTCCACATTAAGACGTTGCCCGTGTTTTACCGACGACCCACCATTGCGCCCCATCCCTTGAATGAATGCACACTGTTCTTTCCCTGGAGAAGCAAAGTAAACAAGTCAAAGGCCAATAAGTAACATTACAGTCACGCGTTTTGTCTTCGGCACGGGCTTGACAAAGCTCGGTGTATGCACTCTGTCTATTTTGTTCTTGCCTAGAGAAAAATCATGAACCAGTATATAGGAACATATGGATATGTCTTAAGATACAAAACAATGCACAAATAACACTTGGTCGATACGACGTGTCCATGTCAAAAATGAACTAAGTATAAATTGAAACAGCAGTTTTACTTATTTTCTACGCTCCGTGCAAGAACCGCGTTGAATCGCGACAATATTGTATTAGACAAACAGAACAATTATTCGAAAAACCTATAACACTATTTCATTACTAACCGCAGATATGTTTATTATGAATATAAAAGTAAACTGAACACAAGTATTTATCTGTATTGAGCGTCACGTAGCAACATTGCCCCGTCGTGGAAACCAGCAAATATCTTTGGTGTAACCGGCTCAAAAACATAATATAGTCGTGGTAAAAAGTTAGTAAAAAAAAAAAAAAATTGAAAATCGTAGATATTAAACGGTTTTGGCTTGAGGAAAAAAATATCATCCTTTTGACCGATTGTAATTAATATGTACAGATAATATTATGATATTATGTAATTATACAGTTTCTTAACTCCGCCCTATACAAATAAGTAACTCAGTTAAATCACACTGTTTATGACAATTGTGGAAGGTTCGGAGCAAAAACGAACAAAGTCCATCACAGTCGATTTCTAGTAATTGACTCCCAAATTGTTTTTCGCATAATCCACTCTGTGTAACAATGAACTAAGGACTTGGTTCACTATTAAACTTCAATCATTTCAAAAGTACCGAGCGAACGGTGGTTTTACAGTATGTTCATTCGACAATAATTGCCTCTTGTAATTTAATATCCGTTTTCAATTTTACTCAGCCAAAATAAATTTCAGTAAAAAAAAAAAATTAATTAAAACCTAAAAGTGGTACTTGAGGATCAAATCTTAATACTATCATTCTGCATAAATCTACATACAATTAAATGTTTTTTTTTTTTTGGTTTTTTCAAATTTTAACTGTGAAGAAGTAAACTTTTTCAACTTTTACTCCCCCAAAGTACCAACTAGATGAAATTTGTGACTTATAGAGTTACTACTCGAAGGAATTGGTCCAGTACTAAAAAAGTTACAGTGTATACAGACACAAAAAAGCCCACACCATGGTAAAACCAATGATTACCGTCCAAAATTCCAATAGCATCTCTGCTTTGCATCGAAGCTAAAAAGGGAATATTATAATTAATTAATATATATGTGTACAT